CAAACTCGAGGCGTCCAAGCCGGCAAAAGCACCCAACATTTGGGTTCGCCTTGGATCACAACTCTTCTGCCATGTGGCCTGGCATAGTGATGTTCCTTTGGGAGACTTACCAGAGTTGTGCAGAGGTCTTACCAACAGACTTCAAAATGCCTAAAGAGACAGAGGTGCAAGTACCCGAGCATAGAGATCCAGACCTTGAAGAGCGACTAGTGAATCACTTTGTGCGGAGCCTGGAATCGTACACATCAGACCCAGATGTGCACATGGTGGGTCCTGGAACTTTTGCTGGACCATGCCGGTTTCTACAATGTTCCACGAGAACGGAGCTGTATTGGGAGTACAGTGCCAGTTGCCATGCCAAAGGGGTATCCCCAGCAAGCTACTCCACATTCTTGCGTGTGGCAAACGCAGTTCTGAAACCGGGGATCCGAAACCAACATCTGAGATTTAGAGGTGTCACACAGCACGGTTCTTGCAATACATGCTACGACCTCAAACAAAAACTGAAGACAGGGAACATGGCTAAGCGCCAGGAAGCTTACAGAAACTACTCCCATCACCTCCTATCCCAATGGCTAGATCGGCAGCAGTACTGGTCTTATCGCAGCCTGTCTACCTCAACCTTCAAGACTATGGTTGAAATGGGCCGAAAGATTCTTAGCTGAACTGTTCTCAATAGTTTGTTTGATGTTTGATGTCATGTTTTATCTGTTGGGGTCAAAACCTATAATCTTCACATTTACAAGAGCCTATCTAGGATGGTGGCCAGCTCAGCAGCCACAAATGTATGCTGCTTCAACATCGACGGGATGGACCAAAGCAAATTTCGCATACCAAGAGTAAAGGAAAGGGCAACCACCAAATTGTTCCAAAGGCTCTTCCGCCCTGTTCTGCACATTTGTGGAAGCTGGTGCCACGGTCACAAACTGTTTGTGTTTGTGGCTGATGATGACCTGAGAAAAGATTCCACAACACAGCAGGAAGTGCTGGCTCGATGCCTGTCAGATATTTATGACACCTACTCCACTCTTCCAATGGGTCTGCATATTCAACAGGACAATACATATCGTGAAGGAAAGAACCGGTACTTTATTTCACACTGCATTCTTCTTTGTGCACTTCGAGTTTTCCGGTATGCTGTCCTCTCATACTTGAGACCTGGACACAGAGCCTTTGCAGCATCTAATTACTGTAGTATAAAGTGGACTGACACTGCAGAGTTCATTTGCAGGTCCCAGAGTCGGTCCCTAAGTTTAATGTTCTGCAATGGTTGACATCATTAAGGCCACGAGGACCTGGACCAACTATTCTCACAGCAAGCTGCTCTCATTTGTCGCCACACATTTGACACGCCAGATGAAGTAGTCGACATTATGGACTCCATGGGTCGACCAAGGGATGCAGCTGAACGCGAACGAAAGCGTAGCAAAGTTGTCAAAGTGGAGGCATTCGCATCAAAACTTGATGAAACTGCGGACTGGAAATCATGGGTGCGTCAAGTTGGCCTTTACTTTAAAGGACTGCGCACCTGGGCTGAGATGGACAGCATTTAGTCATTAAGCCTAGGTGTAAAACCTGACTGCCCTTTTCACATCCTTCCACACTGCTAGGTACTGTTGGTCAGATCCGGGTGGCTCGGCGTGGTGATGTTGATCCAACATCCCTGGGAGCATGCGCAGTTGAGGAGATCCCAGGGCGCAGTGCACGTGCAGGGGACTTGATCCTCGTGGTCAAGCGCAGAATGGCCAACGCTGAACCCTTTACAGTCCTTCTTGCAATGACCGAGGAGAGAGCAGCAGATTTAGAAGCTGGCTTTCAGCAACCAACCTCTGAGGCTTCAAGGCGCCCTATCAGCATGCAGGTGCGCAAGAACATCCTAGCATATGCACCCAGGTGCCAGGCACAGGGCATCATCAGCCAATCTGCCAGAACATACCTGGTCTCTTGGTGCCAAGGCCGATGGCCCAAACAACGCAGGATGCAGAACTACTCCTACTTGCGTCACAGGTGCTCATTGCCTTTTCCACAGAGCCCTGGGGTTCCTGATTGGAACCCTCCCAGAGTGAGACGCTTGGAAATGGTGTTCGGAGATGGAGAGCCAGAAGATGATACGGATGACAATGAAGACTTTGACCAATGCCAACCGATAGATCTTTAAAAGATCTGTGAACATCAGATCGAGATAAGTCTGAAACAGCAGGAAAAAGAGTCTTGTCAGGGGTTTCACCAGCCATGAAGGTTTCAAGGAATGTTGGCATCATAATAACCGTAAAACCTAAATTGATGTTTGGAGGATGGAATTTGATTACACATGATGCGCGCATGCTTTAATGTTTGCAGGACTGCGGCCAACGACGCGAGCGATGACATCTTGCTGGCCAGCGATGCTGAACAATCTCATGCAACGCCACTCTGACTAAAACAAGTTTGGAGTCTCCCAACAAATCCTCATGCACACCCTCCAATGTCCAAGCTATATAAGTAAAAAATCCTTGACATATACAGCAACCTGTTTCTGCCAGCCTCCCAGGCCCCTTGAGAACAACGAGACCGAATCGGAGATCCTGCGCGCCTCAGACGCGGAGCCCGAAGCGCCACTGTCTCCCAAGCCTGAGTTGAAGATGGACAGCATCAGTGCTGCTTGGTTGACAGTTTGGTTGGTTTCAGGGGCTGGTCTTAACTTCTTTTTCTGGGTTCAACCACAAGGGGATGGGTGCACTTCTGAAACCAATGAGGTTTGCAGCTTTGTGAACAAATTCCTCCAAGTTCCAGATGTGAAGAACGCGTTCTTCTCTACTTGCAACGCACTTGCTGAGAAGCATGGGGGTCATGTGGAGGTTCCAGTTGCTTCCGCATGTAGTGGCTTGGGTGTGGCAGAAATGGTGTTCGAGAATCTCAACACCGCATTGAGCGAGATGGCCAATCTCAATTCCTCCAAATTCTCCTACTTGAAGGCCCCACTGGTTTTGTTACTCGCTTCTGCACAGAAACAAAATACTACAGTAAGGGTTTGAACATAAGAGTGTCCCTGTCTCTCTCTTCTTTTCAACCGCCCCTGACAGTTTCAGACGGAGTTCACTTGCGAGATTGAGAAGTGGAAGGCCCAGTTCATCAGTGAGGCCTTCCAGCCAAAGTATGTCTTTGAGGACATGAGGAGCTTAGGCTCTGGCCGGGCCAAGGATATCAACAGGGGGACGTACCACAGCGTGCCTAAGGTGCGGTGTCGCAGTTTCATGTCAGGTTGATGGTGTTGTTTTTTGGGGAACATGATCTAGAAATGTTTAGAGTATGAACATAGTATGAAATATTAATAGTGTTTTGTTGCAGGTCAAGGGCATGACAATGGGCTTCCCATGTACAAGTGTCTCATCACAGAACACCTCACCGAAGAGCTTCAGTGATCCATCTTCGGCAACCGGTGGGGGATTTCAATCTCTCTTAAGCTACTGCGACTACAACGATGAATTGGAGTGGGTGATCACTGAAAACGTGCGGAACTTGTTGCACAAACGAAGCCAATTCGGAAACGAGGTCCCCATCAACATTATGGACAGCGAAATGAGCAAGGGTGGATTCCTTCCATGTCATCAGCTTGTGACATCACTGGACTATGGGGTCCCACAGAGTCGTAACCGGGTGTGGTGTCTCTACATCAAGTCCAAGTGTTTGAAAGAATGCTGTCCAGATCCATTGAATCTCTTCAACATGCTAGCATGTCGGCCACCATCCATGAAGTACATCTTGGACAAGGAGCTGCTGCCAAGTGATGACTTTGCACGCTCTAGCTACAAGTCGCGCAAGTCGGGTAAGTCGGGTGGTGAGAAGTGGAAGGATGGCTTCAAAGAGATGCAAAAACAGCTTGGGAAGGCATGGGGCTTTGAAATGTCCTCCATCCAAAGTATATTGTTATCAATGTCTTCCAACATCTTAAACAAGACATAAACATAACACATCATGGGCCCCCTTGAGGCAGCAGTGATGAGGAACTACAACTTGCTCAAGGAGCTGGTCATGCCTCTAACGCTCCGAGAAGTCTCAATTCTGGCCGTGGCGGTGACCATGCTCCAGAGTTCGGGCATAAACCCTTTTGAGACGGAAGTGATTGTTCAGGTGGACAGGGTCTTAGTTGGAGTAGTGGAAGAATTCTAAGAATGTGATACTTCTTGGGAGGGCCCTCCTAAACTTGCCACCGTAAGGACCAGAACTATGAGCGCAACACCTACCACCGGAGCAACCCCCTGGTTTCGCCCTGCATCATTCCTCATGGCAAATATGCAGTGACTGGCCAATGGAGACTGCTGAGTGGACAGGTCATCTGGTTAACAAAGTCAGTGTTCAATATATTCAACCATATTCAAATCATGTTTTCACCAAAGGAAAGCCCTGACCAACCTACAAAACAGCCGATCGCCAGGAGAAGTTGCTCCTCCAAGGCCTTGGAACAGAGGACATCCTGAGGTACGGGCTCAACAAGCTCACCGATGCCAATCAATCGGACCTGGCTGGAAACTCGTGAGACTCTTATTTGTGTGGGCAGTTCGGGGCAGTTGGTGGTAATTGAAACTCTGCCCCCATTTCAAGTCTGGTTGAGGGATCAACATTCAATCAAGGTTCACTGTGAGTATTTGTGCGGCAGCTATCCTCGCAACCATCAGCTCTTGGCAGCCTTGAACGGTGTGGTGGCCTTTGGATAGTAGCTGATAGCAGTGAGTGGACTTTTAATTCAAGGCTTCCCTCTCAAGCCACCTTTTGCAACAGGCCCCCAGGGCTTGTCGACCAGTATTTTATTTACTGGCCGGTTGAATTACAAATTTGTTAGGCTTCACAGCTCACCATTTGGAAGGGAAAAAACTAATAAGATCTTTCCTGTAAGAACATCATTCAATTTGAGTATCTACAAGAACTGTATTTTTGTCGCAGTTTTGGAACCATCTTGTGTATCATTTGCACTGGACCAAATACAGGGTAGGGGTAGATCTTGATTTCATTCGCGCCCCAAGATGCCTCCCAAAAAGAAGCTGAAGACTGGCAATGCTATGGCCAAAGCCATTGCTTCAGGGGAGCAAGCGGTGGCAGGGCCCACAACCATGTCATCCGTCTCTCCGCTCTTGCAGGCGGTGCAAACTTGTGTGGAATCCATGTACTCCCTTAGGCACGCCGGGCCTGAAGTGACGACAGGCGAAGCTCTGCCTTCTCTGCCTCGGGCAGACTCGGGCTATGTTTGGCCGGTAGGTGTTGGTGGGACATTCAAAGACATCGCCCAGAGAGCATGGCAGTCCCCCGAAAAGCTTGTAGACGAATCCTTTGACATGGTACTAGCGGCTGGGCTGTTGGACGAGGGCAGCACCGTGGAAACCTTCAAAGCCAAGTATTGCACTCTTCAGGACTGGTCCCCTTTGGGTTCAAATTCCAATTCCACAAAGCAGGAAAACTACATGCCTGCCATGCATAACCACAGTGTGAGTATGAACACTTATACTTTCACAAAACTTTGACTTCCAGGAATGGCCACCTGCTGTGGGCTCTACGTTCGAGACGGGAATATTGATGTGGAGCTTCAAGGACAACTCATTATGGAGAGGCAAACACATTGCCATGTCAGAGATTGTGGGAATCGCTCGAGCAATTGCCATCACTCGTTTTCGTGAGGCCTGTTCTGGGAATTAGTGGTAGTGTCCAAAACTCAACTCTTTGCAGGGATTGGGATTGCATGCCCAAACTGTGCCCAACAACTCTCAAAGGTTTGGCTGAGGTGTCCACTGGACACCTCGGCGAAAGCCTTGACCCAAGAATCCCTCTGCCGTAACTTGGCCAGTGCTGGGCTTACATTCTAGCTGACAAGTTGCAAACCACCACTTGGGAGGGGGGGGGGTTTGGCTGAGGTGTCCACTGGACACCTCGGCGAAACTGTGTGTCTTCAGTCATTCATCTCTGGAAAGAAAATTCAACTCCTGCTAAGTTCAAAGGGTTGTAGAAGAGAAAAAGGCTTTGGGGGGAAGGGAATTAACAAAATTTCCTTACCAAGGGGGTCAGTGAATTCCTCGGCGAAGCGGGTCAGTCCAGGGTCGGTGAATTCCTCGGCGAACGGTGTCAGTCCAGGGCCGGTGAATTCCTCGGCGAACGGTGTCAGTCCAGGTCGGTGAATTCCTCGGCGAACGGTGTCAGTCCAGGGCCAAGGGGGTCAGTAACTTCCTGAAAGGTGGTTCCATCCCAAAGTCTTCAACAAACTCCTGCTCCCCTCCTTCCTCATCTCTTGGGCCAGGGCGAACTGGTATCACTTCGATTGCCAGCGACCTCCGAGCAAGTCGATGCATGCTGCGATGGTGAGAATGTGGCCTTGGGCACCTTGCTCTTTGCAGATGGATCCCAGAAAACACTAGCTGCCTTTACGGTGTGGTTAGCGCTCTTGCTAGTTTGGAGGGACTTCAAGGATTCAATTGAGGATCCCCATGTGGTCCAGTTGATTGCATCCCTCTTGGTGCTGCAAACAACTTACAAGAGTATGGATGCCAATGCTTCCTCCATGCAGAGCGCAATTGGAAAGATTGTCAAGCAAAATGCTGACTCCAAAGTACAGCCTGTCAGTTCATTGACATGGTGTTCTATCCTCTCCGCACTGCAGGACGACAGTGACGGCACCATCAACTTCGACACCTGCATGGAGGCGTACAACGATCACCCAGAGGTGCGCGCTTGGTCTGACAATGCCAATGAGACCGGTGCCGGGTCCATCTCCCTGGACAGGCGTCGCAAACGCGCCGTGAAGAATTGGCTGGAGAAGACTGCAAAAGATGCATTCCGCATCGTCGAAACATCAACACATGACATACCATTCTCAATGGGGCCATTTGGGGAATCCATGGCAGCTTACCAGTTTCTTTTTCTGGGCAGTACTGCCAGCGGCTTGGCAGTTGACCATACTTGTGACCTGAGGCCATTGGACAAAGAGCCATTCATTCCAATTGATTGGACCTTGCCAATGAGTGAGCTGGCACAAACCATCCTCTTCAAGCGAATTGTATCAGCCTTCAACCGGGAAACTTCAATGGTGGCAGCAACTTCAAAGAAGAAGTACCGGCTTAGCATGGAGAATGCCCAATCTTTGAGAAACATGGTGTGTCTCTTTGCGCAGCTGTACCCACACCTGCAGTCACGCTTGCCGGCGCCACACTGTGAAAAGTGGTTGGAAGAATTCTCCAACAGTGCCTTGCATGATGAAGACATGCGATTCCTCCTTGAGTCAGCTCCTGCATCCGTGGCTCTCAGCATGCTTCCATCTTCAAAAGCAGCCGCTCAAGAGCAAGCACACCAAAAGGAGCAAACAATTTGCTTGGCAGTGGAGAAACAAAGGCTCGATGTGATCAGTGCTCAGTGGACTTACTTCAAGAGTGGCCTTGAGAGAGATCAAGTACTTCTGGAAAAGGTCAAGGATGTGCCCCAGAAGATTGCTGCAAAGCTACACCAAAAGCGGGTGAAACAAACAATGGCCCAGGCTAAGCAGGGAGAGGCGGGGGATCCCAAAAGATCTGACCATTTTCCCCAAAGGATTGGACAATATAGATGCTAATTTTACATTGGGAAATTACATTGATCCCAACCCCATGGGTTCCTTGACTGCTATGTCCAGGCCGCGGTTGCCGGGTATGCGGACAAGTACCTTCGGGTGGTGCACGTGCCTCGTGTCGAGCACTCCAATGCCGAAATCTCAGACATGAGAGATCTGGTTGCAACTCAATTGCAATCAAAGGAAACCACAAAATCATGTGAGGCCCTTTTCTTTGCAGGGGATATTGATGTTTTTTGTGAAGCTTTTCTTTGGGTCAAGCGACTCGGTGGCATCCCGCATCCACGAATCCGCACCTTCTTGCTGCTGAGTATGATGGTCGCCAAGCCGCTGCCCAGCTGCAGGTCCTTTCAATCAAAGGTGATCAAAGCAGGTTTAAAAGGTTTCAAAAGACTAGCAGGAGGCTTTCATTGTGAGTATTTCCATGTCTTTCCAGTAAGTGCATCATAATCGTATCATGCTGTTCCATTTTTGAATACCAGGTTATGCAAAGTCAACCAGTGGAACTACATCAAGAAGTCGGCTCATGATCTTGTCGAAGAACGTCCCCATTCAATCAAGACACCTACTACTCAGTTTGAGTCGGATGGACTCCCACTTGACATCGAAGTCTTGGATTTGACCTATGACACTCCCCGGGAGGTTGATCTACTTGAAGGTGCACCAGCAGCAGTTGACCAGGTTCAACAGCGTAACCTGCAAGCGCTGCCTTCACCTGACAGTCAACCTTGGGAGGCGCATTGTGTTTGAACAAAAACAAATTAAAACCTACTATGTACTAGTAGGTGGCTTTTTTGTTTGGTTTGGTTATAGCCCCCCAGGGAATGTCATACGGCTAGTGTGCAACACTATCCCCTGAGGACAGCCATCATCCATATGGCAGCCCAAGCCCTATGCTTGTGGACCCGGAGGACACTATCAAGAAGCGCTGTTCCCCCTTGAGTGAGACAGTCCCCCCCTTTCAAGAAGCTCAAAGTAGCGCTTCCCAAATCCTGGGAAGACCCCAGTGTTGAAGTTGATGATTTTCCGGCAACCCAAGTGGACTTCCCTGACACACTAGTGGATACGCCCCCTCAACAAAACGAGGAGCTTGCAAAGGGTACAGAACCTGCTTCATGTGTGAACTCCACACGTGGAGAAAACAATGTTGTTGGCATTACCAGGCCTGCTTTGCGTAGATTGAAAGTGTTCTTTCTCTAATTAGGTTCAATTAGCTTAGCTGAGCCCTTGAAGTAAAAAATGACCGCCACACAATGCAAACCGGTTTGAGGTTCCTGGAGATCCCACTGCTACAAAGGACTCGTTTGTTCTACAAAGGATTCGTTTGTTCTTGTTTCATCCAAGGCAAAAGAATGGGGCTGTTCTGGCGATGATATCACCATTGTCAGCATTGTCGATTTCAATGCTCCAGGGTGCCGGAACACCAGCAGCGTTCAAGCCCTATGTGAGCGAGTCGCGGCGATGAACAACATAGCACCAGAGCGCAACGGGGCGATTGCTTTGTTTCCAGACCTACCACGCGACAGCTCCCTAAGGGGCCTGTTCGATGAGGAGAAGGGCATCCAGGAATCCTTCTTTGCCCTCAAGCAACATTGTGATACCAGATTCATTGAGTTGTAGCCTGGCATAGCCTGGCTTTACATATATTTACTTGTCAGATCTTGTCAGTTTTGTCAATGACAAAATGTTTTTATCTGGGAGATGTCTTGAAGTTTTATTGACTTGTCAATTCAATTGCTGCATAGGTATGACCGCGACAAGAAGAGCCAATCCAAGTCGAACAGCAAGCGCTTCGGCACAGGGCGTGTCATAGTCAGCCATGACCGCCTAGAGGACAACCCCTGGCTCACTACCAGCGAACTAGCAGTGTTTGGCCGCCCAATTGCAACCAACGAGTCAGAGCATGGGGCGCCGACCGTCATGCTGCCCCGGGGGGCAAGAACTTTTGCTCCCGGAGAGTGGCTCACCGGATGGGCCTGACCTTCGGATGAGTGAACGGATCAAGCCCTCTCCAGAGCAGGCAGCTGCCCAAAAAGGAGTTCACCGAGCAGAATGTCTACTGGCCAGTCTGTTCAAGAACATGAAATTGAGGGGACCAACAATTTTGCTGAATTGGTCTGGGTATGTGGAGGAATTTGCCTCGGCAGCAACTTGGATGTCAAGAGAAAGAACTGATTGATTCAGTCACTGGTTCCACAAAGTCTAAGGATTTCATGAGGTGTTTCTTTTTATGGGTCAGTCTGTGTGCTCCTTTGCGCGCCTTTGATCTGAGGTGTTCAACCTCAGAACCAAAGGGGTTGTTGAGGACTTTGACTGGAAGAAGGTTCACTACATGTCTGTTCACTTCCTGGACAGTGCAGAGAATGCCACCTATGGCAAGAACCGTGTTTTGCGCGACCTCCTGGACGCCTGGTGTGAAAAGAAGATGTCATTTGCTGGCATCCAGTTCAGAGACGACGATGTCAAACTTTCAGAAGAAGAGTTGGCCGCCATCCCAGGTTCAGAGATCGTCAAAAGCGTCGATGCCCTCAAACTTGAGGTGACTGTGCGAAATGGCAGCTCAGTGGAGGTGCACCCAGATCAAATCCGGCAGTGGCGCTCAGCAGGTGGCATGTACACAGAAGAGTTCGACAAGCTGGTTGCAAATCATGACCAGCACTTCAAGAACATGCTTGCGGGTGTTGTTGAGTCAGGGGGTGGCAATGCGGACGCCCCTGTTCTTGACCGTGTTGCGGAGACGCCTGAGTCGAATGACCCACCTCCACCCTCTCTCCAAGAGTTTGAGAGCGTTGAGAAACTCCAAGAAGCAGATCCCATCAAGTTCAAGGCCATGTCGGAAGTCCCAGAGGTTGAACTCCTGAGAGGCAAGAGTGGTAGCACTTACATTGTTGCAACAAAGCGAAATCGAGACATTCCGCGGCACACCATCCTAGCTGGCTTTGGGACCGGAAAGTTTTTTGGCTTTTAATTTGCTGCCAGTGTCACTGACGGCCCTTTTTGAAAACAATTTGAACCCTTAGTTCTGCTGAGGTTCATTCCATCGGCATCAGATGAGCCAGGGTTGGAAGTGGGCTGGCCGGATGGCGACCGGACTTTGATCCAAGTGGACCATGGGAGCATAAACCCGGAGATGTCAAATGCTGAAGTCATGTCCCTATATCGCTACATGACCCTTCTTGAACGGCAAAAGAAAATAACAAAGTATGACCTTTCATACTCAGAGGTCACAAGACTCAGTGGGGCAGATACCGACGGCTTCGGTGTAAAAATCACCAACGCCCACAAGTACAAAGTCATCGGTGATTCCACCAAGCCTCCTACGTGCAAGACATGGTTTGGAGACTGCATCTCACTCTTGGACGGATCTTCCTCTTCGGCCATTCAAAAGGTGTTCCGGTTCCGATTCGACAGAGTAAACCATTGCTCAAAGATCCAGAAGCCTTACGCCATGCTGAAGCAATCCATCAGTCTTCAGCACGGACGTCCGGTGAAGGTACAGGGTTGGCCAACACGTCGCTGTCTAATCTTGTGTTCAATGAATAGGATCATCCCGGTTCCTGGTCCCCCCAAGCCTCTTTATCACACCCACCTGCAGGTCTGTTGAAGCTGAATAAGCAGTGAGAGCAGCTCCATTTTTGCCATTTTGGTGCTGGTGGGGGAGTGCAAGTGCCCTGCTAGGCTTGGCATAGGCTGAGAACAACTTTGGTCATTGCTCATATTCAGGCCCAAAACATTCAATCTGTTTTGAATGTCAGGACACAGGGCTCAAAGTCACTCGTGAACATACCTACAAGCGGAAGCAATCGAGCAAAACGTGTTTTTACTCGCACTGCATCTCATTGATGCTGATTGTTTGTTGTAGGGTTTGTGCCTTTCAGGACTGGTCTCTGTTCTTGTTTCCTGAGCCATTCTTTAGTATCGAGCTGCCACATTTGCTAGCGGATTGAGATGAGCACCAGCCAGGTCAGGGCCATGATCATGCAACGCATGCAGTTGCCAGACTCGCCAAGGACGGCGCCTTACTCACCAGCGCCCAGGACGTCAAGTGAGGTTCCAGCTTCAGCCCATCCTTCTCCAGAAACCACCAATCCTTCTGGAAAGATGCAAGCCTCGAGAGCCTCAACCTCAGAGCCTCAAGAGAAGCAGCGTGAGTCAACCCCCATTGTCCAGACTGTTCGTGCGGAGGTTCCTCAAGAGACTCAAGAGAGGGAGTCTCAAGAGATTTTTGAGTCTTCGCCCATCCATGAAGTGACCCCAGAGGCACCGGACCCTCCAATGCCTAGGCGTGGGCGACCACCTAAGAGGGTAGCTCCAGTGGTAGCTCCAGAGGGTTCTGAGAGTCAGGCTTCAGGGAAGCCAGTTTTGAAGAGGCCTGCCAGTGCTTGTCCGGGGAAAGGTTCAAGTCCACCCGCCCCAAGTTCTTCCCATGATGCGCCGCCTTCCTTACCTACCTTGGGGACGCCTGAGAAGGTTCCTGCGGCTAGCGCTCCTGCCTCTCGTGCTGATGCGAGTGCTGTCAAGCAGACTGTGGAGAGCGCTGAGGTGAATCCTAAGGGTAAGAAGATTGAGAAGGCGGCGGCCAAAGCACGGGCAAAGGCCAAGACCAAAACTCATAAGCCTACTCCAAAAGTGGAATCAAAACAGAAGAGGAGGGCTCCTATGTCGGGTGTGCTTCTTTATGAGCACAAGGGATGGAAGGCATGTGTTTGAAAGGTTCTGATTTAGATATGGTTGAGTTTTTTAACGGTTATTTTTCTACAGACTGGTCCAAGTTCAGCATTCTTGTTTCTCACTCTCCCTTTTGTTTGTTTTTCTCTCTCTCTCTCTCTCTCTCTCTCTCTCTATCTCTCTTGAAGCCCTGTAGGTTTATGAGAGAGAACGTGGAAGCGGAGTTCATGAGGGTGACAAGTACAAAGTGTTTGTTGACACTTCAACCGAAGTGGCTTACTATAGTAAGACTGCCGCAGAAGCCAAAGGCTTTCAAATGCCACCACCCTGAAACGGACGGCATCCCTTTTCGGTCCTGCACCGCCAGCAAGAGGATGGCACCACGGCGCCGCCCGCAGCAGCGAAAGAGTGGATGGGGAAGGGGATGGGTGCACCAAAAGAGTGGAACAACCCTCTCAGTGAAACAACCAAGTCAAGTGAAAGATCATTTATATATATATATGCTATATGCACTGCTATGTGCATGTGCATTGAAAATAAGGAGACCGAACCGCCGGCGTTCCGACCCCCTCTTCCAGGGTCGGAACATAGACGTTCGTCTACCCAGCCAGGGCCAGGGGGTCTCCATATATCAAGGCATGCTGCGACCAGGTCACCAAGCAGTGCGAAGACTTCGGGCTCTAAGGATCCCAGATCATCGGGATACTTAGATGATTTAATTGGAGGCATATGCAAAGGCCATTGCAGGGGGGACTTGATGAATGATTACTTTATAACTATAGGAATGGTCATAATAATGGTCAATAATGCTTATACTTTAAATGTATAATGATTACTTGTACCATGGTCAATAATGGTCAATACTTTAAGTATAGTCTTTTCCATCATGTTTAATATCCAAAAATGGATGAACGGACGACCGCACAATACATATTCGTTCCCGGGCCTCCGTTCGACCGACGTCCCCCGGCGTTGCCGAGGCGCCGCAGGTGTCGTGGCGCCCCGTCTTCGAGCGGCAAGGGACGCCGATGGATTTTGAAGACCTCGGCAGGTCTTAGGCGGGAGCCGAGCCGGAGGCGGCAGCCGTTCTGAAAGTTGAGGTTCTTATCATGTCCTTTTTGACCATATTATAGTAGCAGCCTTTAAGTCCTCTTTCAAGTGAATCGGAATGTAGTGTTGCCTTTTATCAATGTTTATGGAAATGGACATGTATAGCAATAAAGAGCAGGACTCTTCGCACCAACAGTCAGCCCATACCAGTTGAAGTCCTACATTCGGGCATTCTAGAAAGCAGTATGAGGTTCCATGGCTCAGCCCACTCACAATGCATCCTGAAAAGGGACAGGTCAACATCTCAGTACCCCTCCGGATATTTTGTCATTTCAATAAGCTGCCAACAACGACATCACATTCCCAATGGGACCAATTCTTGGAGCCAAAGCATTGCAGTTTGACTCAGCTGGGTGGAGTGCATCTCCCCATTTTCCTGATGTTGGATACTACATGAGGGGGACGAGCACCTCTGGGCACCCTGGAGGGAGCGAAAAGTCCTCACTTTCCCAGCCGAGCCCGAGATTCCCCACCTGCGCCCATGAATTCAATCATTCTGCAAAAGCCCGTTGAACACATCATCCCCTCAGTTTCCTGAAAACAACACTCACGTGACCTCATCTCTCCATGCTTTTGTGCTTTTTCGGCACAAGACCAGCCACCCAAGAAAAGGGCGCTCTTCAATCAAGGGCACAGCTCCAGCTTGCCGGGCTTGCCGCCCCAAAAAAATAAACAGGTCGTCCATCGGGAATGGGACGTGTGTGTAGCACGCACATCACGAACATCGGAATCTGATGGGATCGCCGTTCGCGTCGACGGTGAACATCGACCCATCGAAAGCCGTCGGAGCTCGGCTGCGGTGTACGAGCTCGTCCAGGAATCAAGTCAAATCCGGCCAGCTGTTGGAATCACTACCCAAACACGGACTGCCATGTATACCATACAAACAGGGGTGGTTGACGTGGGGTCAATTGATCGGCAATACATACCAGTCCCATTAGTCGTGTCTGGGTTAAGGATCCGAATGGTCTGGAACGACTATATAGAATACTTAGGCAGGCTTGAGGACTATATGGCTTAAAAGGCTTGAGGAACAAGCCTTAAACCGCTGGTGTTCCAGCCCAACACCGGTCGAAAGAAACCAGTGCAGGCATGCAAAGGAATGGCTTCTTTGGGGTTCTGGCATGATTCGGTATGCCTTCTCTTGACCCACACCCAATCTTACGTATGTCTCATCTGCAATCGAGGAACCAGGGGAGATCCAGCAGCCTCTCTTTCGTGAATCGCAGCATACAGGATTTGCTTCACCAAATACCCATGGGGTCAGCTTGTACCTCAACTGCGCTGTGCGCTCAGAAACGAAACGTCAAAACCAGTGAGGTTGGACAGATCATACCACAAAAACAAACAGCTACTACCTCTCAATCATACCTGCATGTACTCCCTCTAGATAATCGAATTATAATATAGAAGTTGGGTGACAAACCCTTCTCAAAGTTTTGGACACTCTACCGTTTCATTCACCCTTCAGTAGGAGCAATACAACATGAAACATGCAACAAACAAGCGCACCTATTTGTTAGGGTAGGTCATTCGCTGGCTGAGGCTGCTGCAGCTGACAAAATCGATGTGTACCAGCCTGCCGCGTGTTTGAGTCAAATACAACTATACCTCAAACGAACTGCCCAAGTGACCTCGAACAATCTGAATCTGATGAGACTAAACCTATAAGGAGCTCAAGGGCAACGACATTCATCGAACTCCTAGGCAGTGCCTTTTAGCCGAATGATCACCATCCACGCGCAGCGCAGCGCACGGCTTGAAAAGCGCGCGAGCGCGGTCTCGGGGTCTCGGACGTCCCGTCGCATAGCGAGGACGTCGTGTCGAGTTATGTCAGTGGCCTCTTTCCAGGTGGCACGTCCCGTAGGTTGTCTGCCGTCACCGGCAGCACTGAACCTGTGGCAGCACTGGGTCGTCGTGTTTTCTGGGCAGCACTGGGTCATGCAGCTCCAAAACTCTCTAGTTTCCTTCTAAACTGGTCAACGCAATCGGTCGAACAAATGCAAAGCTCACGTCAGATGTGAGCAACAATGCCTGGCTGAAAGGGTGTTCAGCATCCCGGACAGGAGTTTAATACGTTTGGTTCTCATCCAATCTGTACGAAAAATATGGCACGACCCCTGACATGCAATCCATGTGGAATCACGTCTTTGGGGTGACAGCTGGATTCAAACTGTTCATTTCTTCTTCCAACACCAAATTATCCAAATTAATGAACATGGATTTCCATTTGAAATTCACTTCTTTTGAGGCTCTTGGGATACAACCCACTTCCGTCAAAATTTCCGCTGCCGCTCCTCCCAAAAAAAGTTCGCCGTGCAGCTAGGTCGCAGGGCAAAGGCACTCCAGAGCTCCTCTGTTGACCTCGCTTCACGCTCGGTCATGGAGGTCACCAATGCAACGGACGTCCAGGTCGGTTTGTTTCAACGGCGGCAAGGCGAAAGGGTGCGACCAGGACCATCGGATGGTGCGGGACCCCTTAAGTGGCGCCAAGAATTTCTACCAACGAAGCCACATGTTATCCCTCAGGTGTAGGGTGGGTGCAAAAGACATGGGCCCACGGCTGGCTGAGGGATCTGTAGCGGATCCCTGGCTGGGTGGAGATCGGGATGTGAACTCACTAGGATCTACAATATCTACGGTATACCGGACAGTTTGGTACTGACCCATGTTACTAGCCGGCAGGACAACCGGTCCCATGTCGGGGCAGGACACGGCCCCATGTGCCTCTCTTCCCTTAATGTCTGTGCCTCGGATGTCTGTGCCTCGGTAACCGAATCAACAAATGCTTCGTCTTTGCGAAGGAGTCACCAAATCTACACTCAA